AAAAAAAAAAAAAAAAGGGCTAGGTCATGTCAAAAGAACATAAAAGAGAACTTGTAAGGCCCCCACTGGACAAATCTGTGATAATTCTGAAAGCAAAATGAATACTAACTTTAAATAACTCACTTTGGGCTAGACTACCATAATTTCATGATCTAGAATGATTCTAAATAGATGTGCCCTTGAATACTGGCCAAGAAAATGAACTCTATATAATAGCTAATAGATTTTATAGTACCTGAATACATATTTTGAAAAAGATAAAACAATCACTCAATTAAGAGAAAAAAAAATTACTTCACTAAAATTGACCAAACTGATCTTTAAGATGTATTCTCTTGATTAGACATACACTGACCAAAAAATTAGATACAAAATAGGTTCCAAACATTTCTGATGATTATTTATAATTGCCCTAGTATATTTTGTTCTCCTCCAGTGTTTGATATTCAGGCATTTAAATATGGCCATTCTGCCAAAAACAAACTGACATCCAATAGTGATTCTGCATCAGAGACTAAAGCCCTTATGGTTAAATCCTCTCCTTTAGGACTTTTGACCAAAATGGGGGAAGTTGAGAAGTTTTCAGAGGGAAATGATGGAGATACTAATAGAGGACACTAGAAGACAGTCCTAAGATGGAGATACTAATAGAGGACACTAGAAGACAGTCCATTACATATATTCAACAGTTAATTTCACAAGGTTTTTGGGAAAATTCATTTTAAAACCCCTGCAATTGTACTGATACCCCATTCAGCTCACTTAAGGACAGACTGCCCAAATGGCCTCTTTGCTACTCCGAAAATATGCAAACAAAATTCACTGTTCCTAGACCACAATTTTTTTCCTCTCTCCTTTCAGTTATAAGTTCTGTTTTGACTTTGTTCACTGACAACATTGTATTGACTATTTTTGCCCAAATAAGCATGCAGATAGGTAATTCCCCTGAATTATTCCTTGACAACATCTCTCTATTGGTGAGTCTTCCAACATAATATACTCGGTAGTGTGCTGGTAAATGTTTAATGACCTATTCTTGGAGATGGTGGAGAGCCCTGGTTTGGTAGTGTTTGTAGATTTCCATAGCGTTTGCGGATTCCCACTATGGTCAATTTCAAGATACCAGTGTGACACCACTGAACACAGAGTTAGGAAATGATGTGCGTGGTCAGCTCTCACACACTAATATGACCCGGCTCCAGGCATAGCAATGGGTTTATCTCTCCATCTATTTGGGTATCCTTTAATTTCCTCCAATTATATTTTTAATATCCTGTCAAAGCCATGTATATATTTACATTTATTCCTAAATTTGATTTTTTATGTACTGCAAATAGTATCATGTTTTAAATTCATTTTATAATACTTTGCTCTGGTGTAGAAATAAAATTGATTTTTGAGTATTGACTTTATATCAAAGACTTTTAATAAATTCACTTATTAATTCCCATAATTATCTGTAGATTCATTTGGTTTTTCTAGGTACACAATCATGTCAGCTGTGAAAAATAGTTTTATTTTTATAGATCCCTTTTATCGAATTATGAAAGTTTTATTCTATTCCTAGTTTGCTAAGTTTTTTAAAAATCACAAATAGGTATTGGACATTATCTACATCTATTGATAACTATATGACTTCTCTCCCTTGTGTTAATGTGGGGAATTATGATTGCTTTTCGAATGTTAAACTCACTTTACATTGGTAGATCAAATCAACTTGGTTGTAATGTTTATCATTTTTATATAAAGTTGAATTCAGTTTGCTAATGTTTTGTTAAGAAATTCTGCAGTTCTGTTCATAAGTTAGTTTAGCCTTTCTTAGAATAATTTTTTTCACATTTCAGTATCAAGATTATGCTTATCTCATAAACCAAGTTGAATTATGTTTCCTTTGTTTCTATTCTCTGTAAGAATCTGGAAAAGATTGTTGCATTTCTTTCCCATATGTTAGAAAAATTCACTGATAAAGCCATTAGGGTCTGAAGTTTTATTTGTGGGAAGGTTTTTTGATTCTTTGTTTTTTGTTTTCATTATTGTTATTATTGTTTTAGAAAGCTTTATGGAGATATACTTCACATGCCATATAGTTCACCCATTTAAAGTGTATAATCCAATGGTGCTTAGTATATTCTGAGTTGTATAACCATCCCCACAATTTAACTTTAGAACATTGTGAAAAGGTTTTAAATTACAGATTCACCATCATAATATAGGACTATTCAGATGTTTTATTTCTTCTTGTATCTGTTCTGTAAATTGTGTTTTCCTAGAAATTTGTCTATTTCGTCTATATTTTCAAATTTCTAGGCATAAAGTTGTTTATGAACCTCTTATCTTTCTAATGTCTGTAGGATCTGTAATGATGTCTTTTTTTCCCCTGATATTTATAATTAGTACCTTTTCTTCTTTTTAATCAGTTTTGCCAGGAATTTATCTATTTTAGTAATCTTTCAAAGAACTAATTTGTGGCCTTGCTGATCCTACACTGTATTTTCTATTTCATTAAAATTTGTTCTTGTTTTAATTATTTTCTTCTAGTTTCTTTGGGTGTAATTTGCTATTCTTTTCTAACTGATTTTCAGACTCTCTCTTCTAATGCTTCTTGCTGCCTTGAAGTCTACTTTCTGATAGTAGCATAGTCACACCAATTTTCTTTTGGTTAAAGTTTATATATATTTTTCTATTCTTATATTTTCAATCTTTGTATATCCTTAATTTAAAACTTTTAATTTTAATCTACCATCTTTTTATTTTCTATTTGTACTACCAGTCATATTCCTTTTTCTCTTTCTTGCCTTTTATTAATCAAATATATTTTTTAAAATTCCATTTATCCTGTTAGCTTGTTACTTTTACATTATTTTACTATATGAATAATGATTAGCCCAGAGATTACAATAAGCATCCTTGAATTATTATATTAAAGTTTTCATATAAATTAGCACTTACACACATCCAAGACAATCCAAGGGCCTTAAAACATTTTAAATCCACTTACCCCTCCTGCTATTGGGGCTAGGTTGTTATGCTTTTAATTCTAAATATATTTTAAGTAACACATATTATATTAACTATACGATTATGGTTATTTTTATTAATTTACATTTCTCCACAAATTTACCCTTACTGTTGCTTTTCATTCCTTCTTGCATTTCTTTGTTCTCATATGGTATCATTTTCTTCTGATTGAAGAATTCCTCTGATGCAGGTCTTCTGATTATGAATTATTATTATGTGTAACGATTTATCAGTTGTTGTTTATTGGTGAATATCTTCATTTTATCATCATTTTTGAAGAACATTTTCACTTTGTTTAGAATGCTAAATTGAAAGTTATATTTTCTTTCATCGCTTTGAAGCTTCCATTCCAATATTTTCCAGTTTCTATCATTTCTATTAGAAGGTAGTGAATCTTTTTTCTCTACATGCTTTAAGTTTTATTATTTTTTTCCTTTTCTTTGGTTTAGAGAAAAAGTTTACTATAATGTGCCTAAATATGGTTTTATTTTTTTGTTCTTGGGGCTTTTAGTGCTTTACTCTATGGCTTGATGTCTATTACTTTTAGATCATTCTCATCTATCACTTCTTCTAATACTGCTTCTGCCCCGTTCTCTCCCCTCACTTTCTGGGACTTCAATTACACAACAGACCTATTTTGCTCTGTCCCATATTTTTAAATGCTATTTTCTGTATTTTTTTCCATCATTTTTCTCTTTATGCTTTAGTCTGGATCATTCCTACTGACCTATCTCCAAGTCTCCTCCTCATCTATGTCCAATCTGCTGTTAAGCCCTTCTACTGAGTACTTAATTTCAGTTCTAGAATCTTCAATTTTTGTAGGTTTCTATTCTTTAGGTTATCTAGTTATAATATTGCCATAACTGAAAGTCTCCTCAGTATGCATATGTTTTTAATGCTTTGAGATAATAGATTTATAGGAGTTGCAAAAATAACTCAGAGATTTCCCATAAATTCTTCACCCAGTTTCCCTTTAACGTCTTACATAACAATAGAACACTGATCAGAACTAAGGAATTAGCTTAGTATAATATATTGACTAAACCACAAAATTTATGTGGACTTTTCTAGTTTGTCCAGTAACATCCTTTTTCTGTTTCTGGATCCAATCCAGGATCCAAAAATGTATTCAGTTGTCATGTCTTCTTAGCCTCCTCCATTCTGTGATAGTTCCTCAATATTTCCTCGTTGTCCAAGACCTTGCACCTTTTAAAAGAGTACTGGTCAGTTATTTTGTACAATTTCCTTTTAGAATGTCCTTCAGTTGGGTTTGTCTGATGTTTACTTATGATTCGATTGAAGTTACGCATTATTTGCAAGAATACCACAAAAGCGATGTTCTCTTCTCAATGTATCATATCGGGAGTATATGATGCCGACGTGTCTTATTAGTGGTGAGTTAACCTTGATCACTTGGTTAAAGTGTTGTCTGCCAGGATTCTCCACTGTACGGTTATTATTTTTCCTTTGTAATTACTAAATATTTGGGGAGAAACTGTACAATTATGTTTCTGCTTAAACTTTTACCCACTAATTTTAGCATTTAGTGGTATGCCTTGTCTGTAGATTTTATTACTGTAATATTTAATGCTGATTATTTTTATTTCTCTCACCCTTTCTATATTATAATTAGAATTCTTCCATAACAAAGAGTTGTCCCTCCTCTTCCATTAATTTACTTTTCTCTGATATTTACTTGTATCAGTATGGACTTATGGATATTTATTTTATTCTTGGGGCTATAGTCATTATTTTGTTGCTTGAGTTGTTTGGCCATTGGGAGCTCTGTGTCTTTTTGACATGCCCTCTCCATCTCTGTCTCTTTTTTAGTATATCTTTACTTTCTAGCACAAGATGCTTTACACTCATCTTATATTTTCCCTACCTCGACCATGGAATCAACTAGTTTTTCAAGGAGCCCTGGTTCCTTTAGTTGGAGAACAATACTTAGAAACCAAGATCTGGACACTAGGTATGCTAACTACTACTAAGTGTCATTAATTCTATCCCTCTCAGTGGATACGGTTAGGAAATATATGCATGTGTACTAATTTATGTGTTCACATGCATCTCTATTTATTCTTATATCTATCTGTGTGTATGTAAAAGAATACACATATTTTTAAACCATGAACCCATACTGTAATTTCCAACCGCAATCAAAAATCATAGTTTATTCTAGCATTTGCCCTTTATTTGTAACTTCTTTCTGCAATCATGAAAATCCTAATTCTCATCCATATATTTGTCTGTGTCTGACTTTCATCAGTATCAACACAAGCTTATGAAAGGCTTCATCAGTATCAACACAAGCTTATGAAAAAAATGATACTCAGAAGTCTTTCTCTGAAATGTACTAATCACGTATGATTCTCTGCTCACTGTGGATGGCTTTTTCCAGCCACGTGTACTCAGATTTTACATAGTCATAATCATTATGTTATACTTTGTTGAATTTTAACATTATTTTACATATACTTTCCTATATATTTAAACATTTTGCATGTTTAGCAAACTTCTAAAGGAATAAATACTAAACCATTTATGAGCTGTCATTCACCACCTTATCAAACCCCCTTGGAAAGTCAGACACAGACACACACTCACACACTCACACACTCACACACACACACACACACACACACACACACACAAATTTCTTTTTAGTTAAACAGGGCACCCTTCCTTTGCTCTCAATTTACCTTACTTAGCAGGGGTAGGCAAGACTGAGAGGTAGACCCATATTCAACTAGTCACATAATTCAGTCAGCACTTATTTACTGAGGGCCTACTATGTGCCAGGCACTGATAATGAAATGACAACAAAAGAATTTCATAGAAATAATTCTTGACCTCATTGGGCTTACAGTCTAGTGGAGAAAGTAGATATAAAATTGTGCCACAAAAGAGCCAATGGTACAAAAAGAGCCTGCAACAGAGACATTTAATCCAGCCAGGAAAGGTCAGTGTGATTTTCTAGAGAAGCGACAACTAAGCAAGCTGAAAGGGATGAGCAGTAAACAACGAGGCAAAGACAGGAGGGAAGATTGTTCCACGCAGCCTGCATTCACCTCATCTAGAGGCATCCACAGCCGGAATCCCCAAGCCCTGCATATAACTGCCTTTCATATGGCCCTGGACAGCTCTTCCTTTGTCCTTCTCCATTCCCCAACCGAAATTATTTTATCTCCCTTTCTCTGAGTCTTTGCCAACTTCTCCAACTGTCTTTGAAATATGATGCCAGACACAGAGATCCAAAGGAGAATATGGAACTATTACGTTCAAAAAGTAAACAAACGCTGTCTTTAACATTTAGAAATAGGACTGACATATTTGCCGGCTTCTTCCATGGGTGATTTAGAACTCCTAAAGAATCATGGATTTGCAAGTACTCTATAAACTGTAAAGTATAATCCACATGTATGTGAAGGAATTGTCAGCATTAAGCCCAGGTAGGTGTCTTTGTAACTGGGAGCAGAGTCGGTGACTGCTAAGCTTGGTCTTGACCTGATTCCCCAGCACAGTGGGAAGTTAACATTAAATCAAGAAGGAGGCTGGGAAAAAAGAATGAGGGAAATTTCTACATATCGCTCTTGGAGGAATCCCTGGATATACTTTTAAGTGAGAAAAGCAAGGTACAGAGGACAGGAAGGACAGGGTTCGAATATGTTTACATATTTGCTTATGATTACAAAAAGAAAGAATGGAAGAACCCGAACTAATAGAAATATTTACCTATATGGGTACAGGGAGTACAAAGAAGAGGGGACAGGAATAGAAGTTAGAGAAAAGATTTTTTTTTTTTTACCAGAAAATCACAGCTAATAAATGCAGAAGGAGTAATAGAATTAGAAATCATCATTTTGTAACCCCTAACTTAAAAAAAAAATGGATCTAAGCAACAATCACATAAGGGTACTGAAACTGTTAAATGAATAGTTGATAAGAACCTGATAAAGGTTGAAGAAGGCTCATGACACATGAAGCCATAATGAGAAACCCACTTATCATGCTCCTCCTGAAGGGGTTACAATAGAAACTACATAGCACCACCAAAGTAGTATTCTTGCCAACAAAAGAAAAAAAAAATGAGCATGAATCTAATCAAAACTCTACATCTAACTACAAGTTTATAGGAAACATGGAGAAAGGAACATGCTTAATGTCACCACGATGATGCAATTTGCCAAGTGCAGGATATAAGAAATTGCTGTTTCTTCAACAAATAAATAGCGATTTTAAAAAGAAGGGGAACGAGGAGGAATTATCAACTAAAGGAGAAATAAGAGATATTTTAACCAAATGCAATATTTGAATTATGATTCAAAGAAACCAGTTGTAAATGGACTTTTTTTTTTTTTAAACAAATGGAGGAAAATCAGACACGGATGAATATTAGTTGATATTAAGGAAACTGTTAATATTGCTAAGTGTGATAATGGTTACATTTTTTAAGTTCTTAGCTGTTAGAGACACTGAAGTATTAACTGAAGAATGACATGACGTCTAGGCTTTTCCTTAAAATGCTCCAGTGTACGCATGTGCGCACACGCACGCACATACGAAGCTGTGGGGTTAACAGAACCACATTTGCAGACTGGAGGTAACTGTCAAAGCTGGGTGGTGGGCAAACGAGGGTTCGCTATAGTCTCTCCCTAGTTTTGTGTATGATTTTAGAACTCCATCATAAAAACTTTTTTAAAATAAGGAAGCAGATGGAGTAGGATCTATAAAAAAAAAAAGCAAGATTTCTACCTCATAAACTGATCCAATTTCATAATCCGTGAAAAATCCTACTGATGGCTTAGCGAGGAACACCGGAGTATCAGCACAACTGTGAAGGGGCAAAGGGAGAGAAAGGCTTTAAGTTTCATCCATGTGATAAAATATTCTGTAGTAACTGATTCATGTAAAAGAAACATATCCAAGCCACCACAGATATTCACAATATGTCATTTGTTGTTTTTCTTAAAGTTACAAAATAACTTGACAGCATGATCGAATCTCTGTGAAAATATACGTAGCTACATATTTCATTTTCAATATGCACAGGAGAAACGCTGGAAGCTTAAACACTAACATGTTAACTCGATTCTTAATATAGGTGCTGCTTTTCTTTGAAATAGTAGTCTTTTCTCATTTTTCTTAAAAGATATTACTTATCTAATAAAGAAAGGTTAATAGTTTTAAGTCCATTCAAATTACTAACCCCTGAAGCAACTGATTTCCTTCATAATGACAATTATTGAAATATAGCTAAAGTCACTCTTTTGAAGAAAAATCGAAACTTATACTAATTATTTGTACTTAATCAAATTTTCAACATTTTTATTATCCAAGACATATGAACCCCAATGGAAGGAGCATATGGCTGTAGAGATTCCTCCCATTCGATTCAGACTGTAAACAGAGGGCCAACACTAACTACTATTTCTTAAGACACTGGCAGGTCAGAAAAGCTCAGGACTCGGGACATCCAAAAGCCATGTCTGTGGGTATCCGGCTCTGGTCTGATAATGACACTCTGCCATCCCCCCGCCCCCCGCCACAAAAGTCTAAGATCAGACCCAGGATCTTCCGGGTTTTACTCTAAAGGGTCAGATTTTCTGAGAATAGGAGTCAGGGAAAGACACACCTCTGTCCCAGCTCTCCACTCCAGAAATCTCCTATCAGTGCTGGCTTCCTTGGAGGAAAGACAAGAGACTTGCCTCCACATGGAGTGTTAGGAGGGAAAAACCGGGGGTTTTTTAGGAAGTGGTTCCGACTCTCCATTCTGGCAAGCAGGAGTCGCTCCAGTTCTCTCTGTGGCGCACGTAAATGGTTCATCCAGTTTTTGTTCTTTGATAGACTTGCTTTCTTTGAAACACAAAAACGTAGAGCGTCAATGCCAGGCAGAGGGACTAATTGTGTTGACATCTTAGCCAACTGCAAGGCCCACAGATGACCAGCGCGAACTCTCCTTTCTACTTTGCTGTGCATTGATCACAACTTCTTGTGTCACCTGGAACTCCTTTCCTCTCATCACCTCCCTGTCCCCACTGTCCACATACGCAGCACTGTGCACAGGCTTCAACACTAACCTTGACAGTTTCTTTGGTCCTGAGTTTGGCCTTTGAAGGCGAGTCCCACGTCAGGCTGTCCATAGTGTAGTCAGACTCATCTTCAGACTTAGTGAGCATCTTCTTGCCTGAGGCTTCAAGCTTCTTGATCGGTTCTTTCTTTGGGACAAAACGCTTCTCACAACTGAATGTCAGTTTTGAATAGCCAGGGGTGAATGTGCCTATGGCACCAAGGACACAGAGTCACCAAACCAAGGTAAGGAGATGGACATTTCTAAGATGACTAAATGAAACCACCAAAGCACAGTTAGCTTAATATTTTGTCCTAAACTTTCATAAACACTATGCCAGATGTAACTGCTCTTCAGCATATAAATTACTCCTGGAACTTATTCTACATACTTGAGACTTAGGACTTGAGTGTTAAAATATTTGTCGTTGAACGTGGTCAAAGAACATGAGTAGACCTCTCTCACACGCATGCATATACACACACTCCATATATGAACATGCTTTTTTTTTTCTATTTTTTAAAATTTATATTTATATTTATTTATTTTCTATGGCGACATTGATCAACAAAATCCAATAAGTTTCAGCTGTACACTTTAACAATAAGGCATATATATATATTTACACTGCGTGTTGTGAACATGCTTTTTAAAAGCTCACGCGAGGAATCAAAGTTTGTATTAGCTTTTCATACCTTTAAAATCATCCCCAAAAGGTTAAATGAGAACATTCATTACTAACAAGAATGCAACGAAACTGGCACCACCACACATTTCTCATTGATAAATCCTCAATATGTGTTAACTCCAACCTTATTTATCTGCATGAGATAGTGCGTTCCCAGCTAACTTTAAAATGCTAAGTAGCTTAGTATTCCGTGACATTTGATTCTGCTACCTCTTTCTGCCCTTATTTCTCTACATGATTCAGGCTGTCAGTGGAACGCTTTCCTCAATTCTCAATTGAGAATTGCACCTTCAATTCTCTGGATCCTGATCCTCTCAGCTCAAACACCTTCTCAGCTCTGAAGCCCCAGAAATCTTCAGAGTCTCACTGACTGGGACTGCTGGTGAGCTCATCTTCCGAGCCTGGCGGCACTAGACCATCCTGATATTTAGCCACAGGGTACACACAGTGTATTCTCTTCCATCCACACAGTTACTCTTGCAAAAATCTACCTCCCTACGTAAGCCCACAACCAAGCCTCCCACCCTAATTCTCAAAAGATCTTACCTTCTGTATCACAGAAAACTGGCCCAGCATGCACACATGTACGCACACATGTGCACACACACATACACCAAACCACACATATCCTTCTCTGCCTCGCCTCCCCACTCACCCTTCCTTCAATACTCAAAGGGCAAAAAGTTGCTCTGGTCCTGGATGGGGTCTGGAAAAAATCCCTAGGGCCATGTTCTGACTCCATCAGGAACTCACTCCCTTGCTTATCTAAGTCTTCAGACTCTCCCTCCCTCTTGGTTCGTTCAAATACATTTGTAAACGTTTTCATATCTCTTGGTGTGGACCAGCTGACAAGAGCATCATATTCCACATTGAGGAGTTGGGACTTTTGTCTTGCAGGTGTCTTGCAGGTGAGGAAGTGGCATGCTCAGATCTGACCCTCCCAATAGTCACTATCCAAATTAAAGTGGGGTAAAAACCCAAGAATGAGAAAATGGCAGCATAGAGGGGGCTGCTACTGAAGAACTTTCCTGGAATGATATCAGAGGCTCTAAGAGAATACAGAAGCATTACCTTTAGGGGCAGAGCAAAATGGCACCTTATGGCTGTAGTAATCATCCGGGCAGATCAAATGATGTTTCTGTAGCAACTCATTGTCCACACATGATCTGAAGATGGTCTTCACTATATAGAAGGGAATGAGGACAAAGGTGTTTTGAACCAGACTGATATTGAAGAACCCACACCCATCTTTCTTCATCCTTGAGCCGAAACCATCTACCAAAATTCTTTCTCAGAACCCTGTGGTGATTTTGAGATTTAAGAAACTAATCAGCAAATGTTTACCAGCCACTTAAAAAAGCCCAGTCTTTGGGCATGGCTGCATTGTGATCTTATTTGAGCTAAAATAGTGTTACTTACAGAGAGGTCTACAACAAAATAGAATTAAGAGAAATATGGGAGATGAATAAATGGCCACAATTCTTCACCCATCTCTGTATCCGTACCCTTTGCCATCTGACTTTGCAGTTCCTGGTACTAGAAACAGAGTGTACATTTTCACCCTTCGCTTTGGCCATGTGATGTGCTTTGGCCAATGAGATGTTGGCAGTGGGCTTGAAATGTGCTTGTGCAGTAGTTTTTCCTCTTGTTCCTTTGCCATCATCATAAGAGCTTTCTTGACCCTGAGAAGAGTTCTAGCCCTTTCACCTGGTACCTCAGAATGAATCCACATGAACAGATCTGACCCCAACCTACAGCGAGGAGCCACATTCGGCTGGATCCAGATCTTGAAGCTGGCCAGCCAAACCCAGCTAGCTCATCCCATCCCCAACTGACCAACAGATACGTGAGAGAGGAAATCTCATTTAATAGAGTGTGAAGTCAATAATTAATATTTATGGTTGATGAGCCAAGAAATAGTAGTAAAAACATATTTTTTAGAGGTGTCCAGAAGAATTAAAGCTAGAAATGACCACCTTTACCAAGTGGAGTGAGGTTGGAAGAGGTGAAGTGGAGGCTTTTTTTTTTTTTTCAATAGACTTTACTTTTTGAGCAGTTTTAGGTTCTCAGGAAAACTGAGCAGAAGACACAGAGATTTCCATATACTCCATACCCCCACACAAACACAGCCTCCCCCACTATCAAAGTCCCCCACCAGAGAGCTATATTTGTTACAAATGATAACTTACACTGACACATCATTAGCACCCAAAGTCCAGAGTTTACAAGTCACCCTTTGTGTTATACATTCTATGGGTTTGGACAAATATATGATGATATATATGGGTGAAGGCTCTTGATATTTCATTAGAAGATTTTCTAAACTACTTGATTTTCTTAAACCATGTATATTAATACACCGATAAAATTCAAGAATAAATAGAATGAAGGGGTAATTTGGAAGTTGTCAAACTTTGTTGCTTGCTCCATTAACCAACATGGTGACTTAAAATGGTCTTTCCCTTTGGAGGGTCCTATAACCAAGTGTATAGGTGAGACAAGTGAAGAATACATGTTTCTCTCATTAAATATGTTAATTTAGGAATTTTGAGATTTGGTCTAGTTACTGTAATAGTCAGGGTTTGATCAGGAAAACAGAAATTACTATATGTGTATCATATTTAAAAGATTTGAATATCAGGGATTCTGGAGTGGGAGGAGGTCAGGGAAGCCATCATTGACAACTTTAGCCAGCAGCACTGAGGCAAGGGGTTCTTAAGAAGTTATCTGGAAGCCGCTGTGAAATTCATAGCTGCTCAGTCATCTGCCTGCTACTGCTTCTTGAAAACAGCATCTTCCCCTTTCAAAACTCAGCAAGGGCCTCTCATCAGTGACCTATCCTGGAACCATCTGGGAAATGCATTCCCTGGCCTCTCCTTTGCAATATGGAGACCTTGGCAGGGAGTGGCAGCAATGCCGAGGTGACACAATCTAGCCCAGTTCCTGAGGACTTCGATGATGGCCTATTTGAAATATTAAAAGATAAAACTTTCATAAAAAGGGCTAAGGCCATGTGGGAAGAAGATGTACCCTCTCCCTTCCGATACCAGTCCTCTCTGTCCAGTCCTCCTCCAGGGTGCGGGTGGTTAGGTGTTATGTCTGCAGAAGCAGGGGCCAGTTTATCAGAGCTTTGGAAAGTCTCTCTCCATGTCAGGCTTGGACTATGTACCAGATGAGCCTTGAAAAACCCTGCACTGGCCTTGTGACCATCCTCCCCCGCGCCCCCCTGGGAAGGGGGTGCTTCCTGCACTACCCCTATGCTCCTGAGCATGGCTCTGCAAAAAAGGTTGGCTCTTCCAGTACCCAAAAGATAATGTGGAAAATTTATCAGCTAGGGGAGATAATGAAAAGCACAAGATGTTTTGCAGAATTCTGATCTTTCTCCCTCTGAGAGACATTTACATATGTTTCTCACCTTGTGACATTTGTACTAGCAAACAGAGAAAGGCTGCCTCTGGGCTTTAAGAAAAGTTTGACGGGAAGGTCCTCACCATCAATCATCTAAGTTATGAAAGAGATTCTTGGGTCACGTTGGCCCCCACTAAAAGGAAGGGACAAGAGGAGCATCTAGGGAACTAAATTAACATCTCTACTTCTGCTACTTTTAAAATAAAAGAGAGAAACATTAACAGCAGAAGGCTGAGAAACCAGGGCAGACAATGTCCTATTATAGCTTAACATTATCTTGAGTAAAAAAAAAAAAAAAGAAATAAAGGTCATTGAGAACTTCTGACTGGTGTTTGTTTCCAGTTCCCAATGTTTTATTTCACTACAATAAACAAACAAACAAACAAAACACTTAACTGATTATTTAATCTCCCCTGATCTCTAGTGAAAAGAATCCTACCAAAGCCAGAGAGAGTATCTTACTCTCAGGGCTCAGAGGATATCAGGCAATTAATAAAACCTCCTAAGAATCTACTACTAAAAATCTCTACCTAAGTCCATAGGTGAGGGAGAGATTCTGGCAGCTACATGACTCTACTGTGGAGCTGAGGAAAACAGGAGGCGATAAGGAATCTGTGCTGAGTGTCTACTATCTAATGGGACCTGAGCCTCAGAGGTGGCAGGCCTGACAGAGGATAGGCCCTCAGGCTCACAGCCACACCCTAAGGGAGTCATCTAACCTCCTGTGACAGACACTACCTGGTCAATCATCCTTCCTCCTCCTCCTGATAGAAGAAAGAGATAGGCTCTGACTGCAGACACACTCAAGTTCAAATCTATGTCCTAGCCCTTCTGAGTTGCGAGAATTTAGGGAAGTTATTTGATCCTCTTTCTGAGTTTAGTTCCTGCACCTAAGAATTGGAGAGAAACCTACCTCATAGAATCATTGGGAGGATTCAGTGAAATAACCTACACAAAGCATCTTACACAGCATCTGGTCCCTAGCAGGACCCCAAAAGTGTAATGCCTTTCTAAGCCACTACATTCTCCACTTCTCCCTCTTTCTAGACCACAGATATGTCAGGTCTCCCCAACCTAAAAATGTTGTCCCTTCTGCCTACAGCACTAGAAAATGATGATTTTTCAGGGAAGCAGGAGGATACATCAAAGCCTTTGGGGAAAATAAAAGGAACCAGGGCTTCTTGGAGAAATGGCTGATTCCAAATCCAGGGCAATAACTATATGAGATGAGCCTGAAACATCTGACCATCACAGAAAGTACAGATGTTATCAAAGAAAACTATTGTTGTATCAAAAGAGTTAGGAGTCAACTTGAAAAGGCTTGACTGGCCAAAAATGGGACAACTGGAGCCTCAATAAGAATAAATATTATTGTAGTTATGAAATCCATGAGTTCATAATGATACTAAAAACAAACTAAATAAACTTCATTAGTCATGTTTGAAAGATGCTAGGGGAACCAACTCATTATTTTAAAAGCTAGCAAATAAGGAGAAAAATTAATCCTACTGATATCTTGGATTCATCAAAGTAGTTGCTGAAAAATTTCTCTTTATAGAAGTATGCCAGTACCACTAGCATTTCATTATAATTTACAACCCCAATGAAACAATAGATCTAGGCAAAGACTGCCGGCATCATGAAAAGAGAGACATCAGATACCATGTACCATTTCAGAAGGAAACACACAGCACCATCTATAAAGTGGTCTAGCCCCTTCCACTCTCCTCCCCAAAACTGAACCTGAACCTTGTGAAGTCTCTAGAACTAATTAGTGAATTGCAGGAAATACGGGGATCATAAGAACAGCTTAACCACCACCACAGTGTTGAAATTCGCAAAACCAGACTATGGACAAGTCTGTAGAAAAAATAACCCAATTATTTTATCAAATAAATTGATTATAGAAAGTATCACCATAGAGGTGGATGATTGAGAAAAGTTTTCAGTGATTGCTGGTGGTGTGGTGATGGAGCTTTGATGGTAAAATCTGAGAATGCCTTTCCACGAAATACTAACCAATTATAATTTGGAGAATTTAATGTGGAAAAATCCAAACAAACACCAATCTGGCCAGGTGATCAAGATTAACATCAGCTGTGCCTCCTGGTATGCCTTAGTGGGGAGAGCACAGCATAATTTATGTGGTGTTGCTGCCAAGAATGAGTCTGAGTGTGGTCATGAGGAAACATTAGAACCCTACAGAATGAAAGGCCTGTCAAGAACTGTAGAGAGAGAATTCTGAGATGAGGAGTAGGAAGCACCAGAAATCTGCCTCTCCACCTAGACAACAACTGCACTAGCAGAACCAGACTAACGATTTTGGAACTATGGAGTCTGTTGAAGGCTTGTAACTTCCAGGGAAAGACATGAACAGAAAATCGTGGTTAATGTCAGTTCCTAGAAGAGTAGCAGTTATGCATCCCTCATCTCCAATTCCATGGTAGGCATTTGTGAACATGTTTCTGGGGTAACCTGCACACAGTTTGTGGGAACCTAGGTGAACAACAACAACAAAAAACCCCTATCTTCCAAAAATCTCGGATCTGTGCTCTTGATTGCTGATTATTGCTTCTGATCACAGAGTAGACAAAAAAAGCAGTAGCCGCTGCTATTGCACCTGTCCTCATTGCTACAAACCCTTCTTCTTCCAGCTGAAGTGACTTCCAGGGAATGTAAAAGACCAGCACCTTTGTCCCATCCCTTCATCTTTCTTTTTCCCCTTATAGAGTGAGATATTAAAGACTAGTATATTCAAAAACAATTGACTATATGAGAAAAATTAGAATATAATGGCACATGCCCAAGGAAAGGCTCAGAAAAGACCTAAGAAGACCTTAAGTTTATACCTATGCTGACCATCAGCACAGACAGCCTACAATAATTAAAAAAATAAACAAAAACAAAAAACAGCAAACTCTGGGGAAGGAGAATCTGATTTCCAGAGTTACCACAGTATTAGATGCAATAGCCCAGTTTTCATTAAAAAAAAAAAAAAAATCACGATACATATTTAAAAAAACCAGAAAAGCATGGCCCATTTCCAATCAAAAGACAGATAGGCAGAATGATAAAAAAAAAACCACATGATCCACTATGTACAATCTACAGATACACTTTAGATCCAAAGACACAAACAGATTGAAAGCAAAAAGATGAAAAAAAGATACTCCATGCAAATAATAATCGGAGGAAAGCAGGAGTGGCTACTCTAATAGACAAAAAAAAAAAAAATACTTTATAGCAAAATAGTTTACAAGAGGCAAAGGAGAACATTATATATTAATAAAAGTTTTGATACAGCAACAAGATACAACAATTTTAAACATTCACACACCTAATGACATCAAAATAATAAAGCAAAAATTGACAGAACTGAAGGGAGAAATAGACAGTTCTACAATAATAGTTGGAGATTTCACAATACCCCACTTATGATAATGGATAGAATAAGACAAAAAGAAAAGTAAGGAAACAGGACTTAACACGATAGTTTTTTTTTTGAGTGGAATCTTTAGTGTTTTCTACATATGAGATCGTATCATCTGCAAATAGAGATAATTTACTTCTTCCTTTACAATTTGGATGCTTTCTTTTTCTTGCCTAATTGCTCTGATTAGTTTGCACTACTGTGTTGAATAGAAATGGCGAAAGCAGGCATCCTTGTCTTCTTGTTCCTGATCTTAGAGGAAAAGCTTTCAGTATTTCAACACTGAGTATGACGTTTGCTGTGGGTTTTTCATCTATGACTTTCATCATGTTGAGGTAGTTTCCCTCTATTCCTAGTTTTTTTGAGTGTTTTATCATGAAAGAGTGCTGAATTCTGTCTAATTTTTTCTGCATCATTTGAGATGATCATGTGATTTCCCCTCCTTCATTCTGTTAATGTGGTGGATTAACACTGATTAATTTTCCTATGTCAAACTCTCCTCGCATTCCAGGAATAGAGAGTCTCCTGGACCAGAGGGGAGAAAGAGCCACTGTGGGCCAGCTGGTGACATGTGAATGGGATCTGTGAATTGGAGGTTAATGTTGCGCCAATGCTGATTTCTTGGCTTGAGGGTTGTACGTTGGTTATGTAGGAGTGACCCTGTTAGGGAAACATGCACTCTGAAGTGTTTTGTGGTAATGAAACATCCCATCTGTAACTTGCTCTACAAATATTCAGATAAACACTAGAGAGTGAGAAATGGAGCAAATGCAGTAATATATTCACAGCTGGGGAATCAGAGTGAAGGGCGCGGGGGTGTTCTTTATACACACCTGGAGGCATCTTGAGGATGGGCTGTAGGACTTGTACTCTGGCCTGGTGTATGGACCGCTCCTTCTCAGCATAGGCCCGTGCACTGGCCTGAATAATATGTCTCTCCAACATTTCAAACTCGTCCAGCCGCTGCTTATAAAGCTCCCGAATCTGGCAGGTGGATAATCAAATGCACGGAAATATGGTGAGATCACATGGTTTTACTCCACCTCACCTCTGCATCAGGGCTTCCGTGAAACATAGAGCAGTCACAGAACTATAGAGGCCATCTGGTCCAACCTGACACATGTAAAAATTGAGGGCCACCCCCAGAAGAAAATGGCCTAAAGGTTTCATAGGAAAGTCAGCAACAGAGGCAAACTGGAAATCCTGTCTCCAGATTTCACAGTAAAGAGAGCTGCCATCCAAACTCTGAAATACCAAATACAAGTTAGCACACCACTGTAGTAGAAAAAGGAGCGTGCCACCCAGATCCCCCTTCAAAGAAGGGCTTGATACCGAGCTGCTGGGAGCATAGAGCACACAGCCTCCAGCTGTCAGCCCTTCAGTTTATTTACCTCAGCTGCTTGAAAGTGCTCAGCTGAGCCTCCATAACCGTAGTCGGACCCAGCAGAGAGGACTCAAGCCAGATGCTTTCCTCCTTATACAGACGAGGAAGCAGAGCTGTGTTCCAGAAACGGGGCATGCCTCCTAAAATCTGTGCATGAATGCCTGTTAAAATTATGGCTTGTGTTACAAAGGCAGGCACCCCAAAGGTAGGGGGGCACTTTTAATTTTAACTCCAGGGAACTGCAACTATTGAGCTGTCTGCCCCAATTCTTTTTATGTATATAGGCAGTACAGGCATAACTCCTTTTATTGCACTTAATTTCATAGCGCTTCCCAGGTGTTGCATTTTTTATAAATTGGAGGCAAGACCCTCCGTCAGCAAAAAGATTACCTCTAGCTTTATTGCATACTCCCTTTATTATGGTGGTCTGGAACCAAACCTGCAAAATCTCCGAAGTATGTCTGTATGTCTGTGTATGTGTGTAAAGAAAAAAAAAAGTAAATGTTACAGATACATGCCTTACGTGTGCAGCATATGTGTACTTGTATGAGTGTGTGTATAAAGTATCCTTCCACCAGAATGTCGGATAGGGACTTGGCTCTTTCCCAGCTGCATCTCCAGTGCATGGAACAGTGCCCGGCACCCAGCAGGTGCTGACACTTGTCCAGCCTTTCCCGGGGGCGCGCCCTGGATCCCACGCACGGTCTCCCTCACGGTCCGCAGGCGCGACTCCCCGGGTGAACACACAGCGCGGGGGCGTGGGGCCGTGTTACCTGCTGCAGCTCATCCACGAACTCCTCGTGGCGCGCATTCTCGCTGCCGCGGGCCTTGATCAAACTCGCGCTCACCTCCTCGCCGATCACTTCAGCCGTGTACAAATTACGGAAGACGCCGGTGAGCAAATGCGAGATGTCTTGGGTGCGCAGCGAGGTGGGGCGCAGACGCAGCAGTTGCGGCTCGGGGGATGGCGAGGGCGCAAGCGGGGAGAGACGGCGGGGCCAAGTCCTGAAGCTGTGGTGGACGTCATCGGGATAGGCGAGGGAAGACAGCCAGGTGGACTGGCTAGGGCTGCGGATCCGGGTCAGACGAGAGGATGGCGTCCACGTTGCCCCAGCGAATGCGTAGGACCCAGACTGGGCCGACCATCGGTCCCTGGCTTGTCCAGTCTCCATGGCAACTAAAACGCCGCTAACTCCTCATCGCACTTCCGCTTCCGGTCCCGCCTTTCCCCTTGTGCCTCCCAGTTGGGCGGCTTGGTTGGTGTCGTCATCGTCATAAATATGCCTATCATCAGTATCACCTGTATTCAGGTGAGCTTAGCGTAAGGCACCAATAGAAGATAACTGCAATTTAGTGGGTGAAGACCAAGTGGAGATAAATGTTTGTGGTCATGGAACCAGAAAGGAAAGGAAGTTAATCGGGCTCTAGATTGACAATGAGCAGCGGCTTTGGGGAAGAAGAGAAGACCAAGCAGAGATTTAAAAGAATGAGTAGATTCACCATTAGTCATCGAGGAAGTGGAAATTAAGACCACAGTTTGAAAGCACTACACAGTAGAATGTGAAATCAATAAATCAACAAATAAATCAGCAAATCAGTAAAAACAAATTAGTCAACCAACCAACCAAGTGCTGCTGAGATTTGGAGCGAATCGAGTTCTCATATATTGCATGGGAATACAAACTAGTATTGCAGCTCTGGAAAACACTTTGGCAGTTGCTTATAAAGTTACACATACAGTAGTCCCACTCCTAGGTATTCTCCCAAACAAAACCCAGTACGCAAATGTTTAAGGCGGCTTTACTCATGATCTCCAAACCTGGGAAAAAACCAAATGTCCTATCCGCTGGTAATAGGATAAATAAATTATGGTACATCTATACAACGGAATACTCTCAATAAAGAGGAAATAGACCATTGATACAATAGCATAGATATATTATCAAATGCATTATGCTAGGTAAAAGCAACTGTCTTCAACAGGCTATATACATACTAAATGATTCCATTTTTCAGACAACTGGGAAAATGCAAAACGAAAAAAATCAGTGGTTGCCAGGAGCTGGTGATAGGAACTAGTGATGGCTCCAAAAGAGCATGAAGAAATTTCTTGAGGTGATGGAACTGTTCTATATCTTGATTGTGGTGGTTACAAAACTGTATGAATTTGTCAAACTTCGTGGGATTGTACACTATAAAGGGTGAATTTTACTGTATATAAATTATACTTCAATTTTTTTAATTAAAAAAAGATGAGTAGCAGTAAGCCAGGCGAGAACGATAAAGGGCACTTGATGCAGAAAGACCCCACTGTGCAAAAGCTGGGAGAGAGCATTGTATATAGGAAGAAACGAAAGAAGTTCAAGAGTGGGATTGATTGGAGATCTGAAAGGTAGAATTGACGAGACTTGATGGATGATGGGAGTGAGAGTGAAGAGGGGTCAAGGATGACTCTCAAATATGCTGAGTGTGCAAGCAGGTGGGTACTTCTGTCATCCGCTGAGATGTTCGGGAAGAGGATGGCACTTGTCCAGGGCAGCAGTTTGACATCACATTGACTGCCATCATTGGCACAGTGTGGCTTCTGCTCATAGACGATACAACTAGCTACTTTTTACTCCTGGAGTGAGTCTGTCTACCTTACAGCTTGAAAACCACTTCCTGAGATGAGCCCGAGGAGGCTTGCCCACAGACCTGGCCCACTTCCGCTTCTCTCGGTTGGGCCTAGCTCCTTCATTTGTCCTTCCCAGTACTTTTCCTGTCCTCAGAGCCGGCAAGGCAGGGCCCCTGCCCTGGACTGTGTCCTTGAGAGGACTTTGCTCTTGCTCTCCTCTAGAGGCACCCTTCTCTACAGAGAGAGGAAACCACGAGGCCAAAGTAACATGGCCCATGCCTGCCATCCAAGTACCTGCAACGCCAAAATTATTTGCCCAAACATCCTAAGCTATTGACAAGGCCTGTGCAGGCTTCTTGTTTAAGGCCTTCCTTCCTTCCATTGCTTGGCTGGTATGTGCACTAAGGGGTAGCTTTTGTGGGAGGTGGAGGGAGCTTGGGCAAGTGAGCTGGTTTGTCAATTGTTACACAAATGCAAGGTCCCCAATAGTGCAGAAGGAACGATAGGTGGGAAGAGAAGTGGAACAGTCTGGGGGACCTCCATTGCTCTAATATTAGGAGTGCGCCTGCCCGGACCAGGTGGTCTTGTTAGTTAGAAGCAGTTCCACTTGTGGAGGCTCCCTGGCCCCCTTCCCTGTCACAGACGACAGGACAATGGATTCTTGCCATTACATTTGGCCTCTCCATCTTGCCTCCAAACAGCCTCAGAGTCGGTCACAGGGAGTCTGACCCAGCCTGGGAGAGGTCTCCCCTTTTTCTGACCCCGCCAACCCTCTGCCTGCAGTTTCCTCTGCTCTGTACAGGCCAAGATCTCCGGCGACCCTCCAGTAGCAACAGCCACAACTCTGTCCTCATCTTCCTGCACCTTTCAGCAGTATCTGCTGCTGCCCATTCCCTCTGAATGACATACTCTCCTCCCTGGCTTTCCCCTTTTCTCTGTGCTTCCCCCATCTCCACTCTTATCTCTCTCTCCCACTGGTATCTCTCTGCCTAATGATCTGGGTTCATTCCTGATTCCACTGTGCCCAGCATTCAATTTGTTTGCCTTCTGACTAACCAAATCAATGAATAGTTCAAACTCTGAACCAGTAACAAAGGGTTAGGGCCACCTTTGAACTACTTGCCAGCCCCTTTCCCTATGAGGAATTTGTCAGCACAAAGCAAATTTCTTGAGTTGCCTTCTTCATTTTAAAACCTGTTCTGCTGACCACAATTTTTGTTTATCTCTCAAATCTTTTTACTTTCGAGTTTCAAAAGTTATACATCATCATGGTAAAAAAAAAAAAAAAAATCAAATAGTACATAAAGAATAAAATGTGTCATCCTCTCAATCCCTTTCCTTATATTATTTCTGTATCCTTCAGCTATTTTATGCCTGTACAAACAGCAATATCTATAGCTTTTAAAAAATTTTTTTGAAAAGCACAAATGACATATTATGTTATATATTATATGTATTATATATATTGTCCAGCCATTTGCTTTTTTTCCCATTTATGTTCTACAGTAACTCATAAAGGACTGTTTTTGTTCATTTGTTTTTTAAAACAGATGCAAGAGAACCCACTGTATGGAAATATCTTGGGTTATTTAACCAGGTCCCTGCTAATGAACTTTACCTTGTACAGGATTTCTGTGTGTAATATACAGATAATATCATAGAATTAGATAATATAATATCCTGGAATTAGAATTGCTTGGCCAAAGCGTATGTACATTTAAATATTTGAATTATTACCAAATTACCCTCCAGAAAGATTATCCCAGAGCGGACTTCCATAGCATTATGGACATTTTAAACATCTCTTGAACCATAACCTGAATGTTATCCCCAGCCCACATCTCCCTCTAAAATTCCAGACTTGTACATCCATCTTGAACTTAACGTCTCACCTTAGTTGTTTGAAGGCACCTTCCTCCTTTCAGTTATTGGAAACTCCCTCCTTTCAGCAGCCCAGGACAAAAGCTCGAAATCACCTTTGAGTCCTCTCACAGCCCCACCAGGAAATCCTGTTGGCTCCACTGTCAAAATGTATCTGGAATCCTACCAATTCTCATGACCTCAACTCCGCCACTGAGGTCTGAGCCACCATCCACTCTCACCTGAATTAATGCAAGTGCCTCCCCACTGGGCTCTCTGCTCCAGCCTTATCCCTCCATGATACTTCTCCTTCCAGAAGCCAAAGTGGTTATTTTCATACATAAGTCAATCATGTCCCTGCTCAGCTTGAAACCTTCCAAGTGCTCCCCATTTTTCCCAGAGTAAAAGTGGAAGCCCTTAGATGGCCCAACAGGACCTGGCTCCCATTACCACTCTATCCTCTCCTATTACTCTTGTCCCCCGCCTCCTTCCGGTCCTCCAACACACCAGACACACTCCTACCTCAGGGCCTTAGCACTGCCTGGAGTCTTCTTCCCCAGCTATCTCTGGTTGGCCCACTCTCTTACCTCCTTCTAGTCTGCTCAATTGTCACTTTCCTCAGAAGATCCAGCCTGACCAACCTATTTCAAATTTAACCCTCTCCCATTCCTGAATTCTCTTACTTTTTAAATTTTTTTTTATTGTCCTTACACCTAATATAATAAATAATTTACTTATGTTTATTACAGTGTCTCTTTCTTTCCATTAGAATTTAAGCTCCATGAGGGCAAGGGGTTTTGGTATATTTTCCTCACTGATGATTCTCAAGCTTTTAGAACAGTACTTGCTCAATAAATATTTGTTGAATAAATGAAATAGCAGAACAGTTTATAAACTGGACTTTGGTGTCTTCTTCAGTTCACACATTCTTTAAGTGTACCTCTTTTTTCAGGTGGCCTGGGCTGTGCCTCTTCCCTCAAGCAAGGGTCTGAGGACCAGTCTCCTGACTATTCCTCCACACCAAGCACTAGACTCTGCCCATTGGGTGGGACTTAGTCCACAGTGAAATAAATATCACAGTTACATTCACAAATGAATATGCGTAAAACCCCATGAATACGATTACAGAAAAGTAGCCCCAAATCATCCCATACTCTCCCGGGATTACCCACAGGCCCAGAAAACTTGTGGTCCATCATGGCATCCTGGATCTTCACACGGTCGGTAGTGTCTTCCTGGCATGATCTGAATACCTTTGTTTTGCCACAGCTGCTCCGTTGGTAGAGGCAGCCTTCACTTTTCCTCCTGATGCATCTGAACTTGGGTCCTGGACCCTCTGGAGGGAGCTCAGATGGGGTTTTCCAGCCCTCAAAAGCATCAGCATGCCCTTGGACCAAGAGCTTCAGACAGGGCTCTGACCACCGGGAGCAATAGAGGAGGCCAGGTAGGGGACAGCTGTGGGGAGAGGCGATTCCAGTGTGTGTCTGTCCAGCAGGCATTTATGCATACCAGGTAGTCGACATCTGTTATTTTAGCTGATTCCAGTGAGGACTGCAGCACCTGACTGCAGAGCTCCAAGAGGTAATGGGACTTGCTCAAGGTGTCACAGCAAAAAAACTGTGGAGGCAAGATTTAAACAGCCCTTCATCCACTATCTCCTGGGACAGGGGCTCCAAAGACAAGGAGGGAGCAGAATGAACCTGTCCCCCAAACCTGGCTTGCCTAGGTTTGTTTGGGGGGGCGGGGTGGAGGTGGGCAGGGCTAGCCCTGAAGCACAGGTGGACCTGCCCATCCTGAAAGTTGGCATTCTTGGGTTGATCCTCCCCCATCCCCAGGGAGCGTAGTGATGGGGCCACTTGAGGTAGTCACTGGACCTAACACTAGGT